GTCAGGCCTGGGGACAAGGATAGTTACCCCTCCCGAATGATGAATGCATGTTGTTTACTATTTTATTATATGTCTCTATCTTAACGTCTGTATTCCCCTTCCCCGATTTTATGTGAGCCGTCCTGAGTCCCCTCAGGGAAAAGGGCGGCCTACAAATACTAATAAAATCTAAAATCTAAATCTAATCTAATCCTTCTTTAAAACTGTAAAGTTGCTAGATTTTAGAAAAGTGATTAAAACCTGCGTTTTCCACCAGTACCTGGTGATAGGTGTGTTATGAAGTGGTCCCACTACAAATGTAGGATATAGATATCTTGTTTATTGTTCCTGGCACAGAATTAAGGATTATTGATTAATTGTTATGAGTATGGTAAATCTCATTTTATAGAACAGGGCAGTGATGGTGAACCTTTTTCGCCTCGGGTGCCAAAAGCATGCGTGCGTGCACTGTTGGTTGTGCCCTCCCCAGGTTCCAGAGTCTTTCTAGGAGCCTCCGGAAGGCGAAAAATAGTTGAAAATCAGCTGGCTGGTGTGCGCATGTGCACTGGATCTGACAGGGCAACGCCTCACATGCCCTCAGAAATGGCTCCGTGTGTCACCTGTGGCACACGTGCCATAATTCGCCATCACAGGAATAGGTTATGTATGCTTCTTAGAGTTGGTTATATGGGAGCAACATACAGTAAAAGCCCAGCAAAATAATGAAATAAACCTATGAACTTTGAGTTTATAGCAGGGGTCCCCAACCCCCACTCTGTGGCATGCCAGAAACCTGGCAGCACAAATAAGTAAAGCCCCATCTGTGGCATGCAGGCAGCACATGAAACTATGACCTCTCCGGTCCACCGAAAAAAACCTCTCTCCACAGAATCGGTCCCTGGTGCCCAAAAGATTAGGGGCCACTAGTTTGCAGTATTGGCTAGTGTGAGTAAATAGTTTCAGACAAGAGATACACCAAGTAGTATAACTTTATAAGCATCCAGGAATATGTGGAAAAAAATGGACCTTTGCTTTGGTCAGCAAGAGGAGGCTTTAAAAAGGGAAGAAGATCTCCATAGGAGTGCACTCTTACATGATGCTGAAGCTCAACATGTTTCATTGGCCCGAGACCAAGCTATTATTTTAGAAAGGCATTGAGGCATTGTGTACTCCCCACTGTTTGTTCAAAAGGCATTCCCAGGGGATTTGTGCTCTCTTGTTTCATGAGCCTCCACATTGTTGAAGCTGACTGACGTTGAAGCACACCAGCTGGCCATGTCCATCACTGCAGCCAAGTCGGAGGATTCCTGCGTATACTTAGAACCCACGAGTCAGTGTCTGAGAAGAACTTTGCAACAAACCATGCTTTAAAACTAAGCAACCAAGAAGAAAGATGCCTATCTTTGGCTAAAGGGGACAAATCCTCTTCCTCAACCGGCTACCGGATAAATCATGAAAGATTGGCTAAACATTCCTCTTATACAGATCTTCACCCTGGCTGTCTTCAGCTTGACAGAGAAGCTCCCAAAAGGTAGGTATAAATAAAGGGTCATCTCTTTGCTTTGCCACTGGTTACATATTTATTTTCGATCTTGGACCTGCCCTGGGTTTCGGATGGATATAGAAGCTCCTGGGATTTGTATAAATGAGCTGGTTTTGCCTGTGAGCGCATCTATAATTGCCTTTGGAGAATCACCATGGAAGAACTGAGCAGCTCTTGTTTGTACATATCACGATGACTGGTGCTCTGATGAATTTCCCTGTGTAGGTTTTTTGTTTATAGTATGTATCAAAAACAGTTTTCCAAATATAAATAGCCAGCAATGTTGAATGTTTACTTGGGAATAAATCCACTTAACACAGTTGGGACTTCTAAGTAAATATGCATAGATACAGAGATGCTTGAGGAATGTGAGTGAGGCAGATGCTTGTACTAAGTGACATAATCTACATCTCCTTGATTAATGTTGTGATTAGAATTTTGAGGATAGCTCTCTGCATTGTTACATGCAAAAAAGGCCCATTAAGGTCATGTTGCTGAGAACCAGGTGAATGCACAGCAATCTCCTCTATGGATCAATTGAACCGGAAGTCTTGCTGAAATTTACTCCCAAATAAATTGGTATCCAGTTTGCAGTTGTAATGATTAGTTGGCTCCGCCATTTCTTTAAAATTTTGCTGCATTTTTCAAACTATATCATAAACTGTATTTGACCAATAGCTATGTTTAGAGATGTTTGCTGTAAGTAAAAACAAACAAATCCATTCTTAAATTCCTTTTATGGTTTTTTTAATAAAAACTTAAATACAGAATACGATGAAACATATTTGCAGGACAAAATGACAGTGACTCAGGAATATATGGTAGATACGGCTTCTTCGCTACAGTAGATAGGTACTCAGATGGGGGGGGGGATCCCGTTGTCTTTATATAGATTTAATAGTCTCAATACAAAGATTGATTACAACACCAACAATTAATTATTTTAATGTTGTAAGAGATTTAAGGAGACTGAAATATATGTGATGAATAAGTACACAGTGCTAAATTCTTTGTTTGCTCTGCCTTCTATCAAGCTGCTTTCCCTCTCATCAAAGGGAAATTTAGGAATCTTATACATATCTTTGCTCTATAGTTTGAAATTTGAAAATTCATCCAACTGTGGACCAGAAAGGGAAATCTTCAAATCAGATCAGAGTGGCTTTCACTACTAGGAGCTGTAATCTCACCATTTTTGAAATGCCAAATGCCAGCGACAACAGTCGATATCTATTAAAGAACTGGGTTATTTTTCTTTTCCTTTTGGCAATTGTGTGCAATATGTCATTTTCCAAGAAGAAAACAATTTATAAATTCTTCAGCTATCCAGCAAACGCAATTATGTGGTACAAAAACATTTTCATGTATTTTCAAGGCCACGCTGGCCCACCCTCCTAACCAGAGTTATGTTTATCTCTGCTAATGTAATACGTAATATATACAGAACTTCCAGGGATAAAGAAATTAGGTATGTGCAGTGGAATTAAAGTTTCAGGCTTATATAAATATTGAAGAAAGTTAAAAGGCCTTTCTTATATCTTTTTGAACAGTTTGTGCTAAGGGAGGTGATCATTGCTTTGCTCGGCACTATCAAGTTCTTGGACTGTGTCAGACTATATAGATAGCCTCCCCTTGGATCTAGGGATGGCCATCATAACATAGCTAACTATGATTTTTGTCATCTGTCATGAAGCTAAATTACACTGAAGTGTGATTCAGTGATTCATCCTGACCTCAATCTTTGGTATTAGAAAAAAATGGTGTTCCTGACCAGCAATTGTTTATTCTGAATATTATTGACTTAAAAAAATTATTTGTATCCTGCTTTCCAATACATGAAGTGTCAAAGTGGCTTTAACTTTAAAAAAAACAGAACACCAACACAGATAGTCACAAGCTTTAAAATAGGATTTCAAACCATTGCAGAAACTAATTCAAATTGAAACAGCGTAACTACAAGGATGGTCTGGATTCCTTTCGATGAACAGAGAAAGAATGTGGTTCCCATTTTTCACATCTGAGGACCCACGCAGAAGGAGACCTTCCTTTCATATCGGCAAGACCTGGTCCCAGAAAATGAAGCCATCTTTAACAAGCCTTTTAATGTCCAGAGCAGGGGTGAAATGCTACTGGTTCAGGCCGGTTTGCCCAAACTGGTAGTAAAAAAATGCTTAACAAACTAAAAAAAAAATTCAGACGGTCAGCTGTGCTGCGTGATGGTAGGAACTTTTTAAAAAACTTCTTTTTACCATTTGGGGTCCATTTTTGTTCCCAGGAGGTTTACCTGAGGCCTGCTAGACCAAAAACGGGGAGAGTCTGTTTTTGCTCCCAGGAGGCTTTCCTGAGGCCTGCTAGGCCAAAACCGGGGTGGGTGCTGCGAAAGAAGGAAAGAAGGAAAGAAGGAAAGAAGGAAGAGAGGGAATAAAAAAGGAGAGGGAAGAAGGACCACTAACCTGGCAGTAGACGCAGCTTCAGAGGATATCTTGAAAGAGCAAAGCAATCCAGGGCTGGAAGGTACCTGGAGGTCATCTAGTCCAATCCCCTGCTCCAGCAGGACATTGTTAAAGTGTCTTTTGACCCTCCCGGTCACATGACTACATAGCGATGCCTACCCAGTCACATGACCCCCACCAAGCCATGCCCACAGAAACACTAGGAAAAAATTTTAGATTTCACCACTGGTCCAGAGATTACAGTGATCAGAAGTAGATCATGCTACAAAGATGCGTGAAATACTCAGAAGTACTATAGAAAAGCTGAGGATCCTTCTCATGTTCCAGAATGAGAGAATAAGATAATGCATGAATAAATGCATTTATTTGAATGTCTTTTCTCTGTATCTTGACTATTTTTCTGTCATTGGTTTTGGATTTGTACAAATTTTGCTTGGTCAAGCTGCAGGATCTTATGCTGCCTTTGTGGTCTTCTTTTGGTCACAGGTCCAATTATCACCACCCCTCTTGAGACTGTGGATGCTCTGGTTGAAGAGGCAGCCACCTTTGTGTGTGTCGTAAAATCTTTTCCCCAGGCAGAGATTACCTGGACACGTAATAACATTCCTATCAGGTATGAATTGAATGTACAAAAGACCACAGAATGTGGGAACTCTCAGAAAATATCAGTATTCGTCTCTACCAGTGGTGAAATTCAATTTTTTTTACTACCAGTTCTGTGGGTGTGGCTTGGTGGGCATGGCAGGGGAAGGATACTGCAAAATCTTCATTCCCACCCCAGGGGCCAGCAATACTTGCCGGTTCTCTGAAGTACTCAAAATTTCCACTACCAGTTCTCCACAACCTGTCAGAACCTGCTGAATTTCATCCCTCGTCTCTACCCATAATATTACACCCCCTCTTAATTCTATTCACCAGTGCAGCATTCTATAAAGTCAATTCATGCATTATTTTTATAGGTGCATGGTAAATATAAAATGTATAATGATATTTGGGAATGGCATGGGAAGACAGGAGGAACAGCTGCAGAGTGGACAATAGTCAGATAAGAGGATTAGCTTTAAGAAGTAATCTGGGCATGGCAAATATCTTAGAAGAGCCCCACCTTTTGAAACCAGTTATTTGGATTTTAAAGGCCAAGGGAGGGGGAGCACATTCAGAGTTGCACTTTTAAATAAACTCTTCCTTGATGCATCTTAATATGTTCTCAGATTTTTTGATACTAGGTATGCCATACGAGAAAATGGGCAACTCCTAACTATTCTGAGCGTGGAAGACAGTGATGATGGGATATATTGTTGTACTGCAAACAATGGTGTAGGAATAGAAGCAGAAAGCTGTGGGGCATTACAAGTGAAAATGAGTAAGTATATCTATCCTTTTGCTGAATTAAAAGTCACTGAAAGGTCAAGTGAGCTAGAAAGCAAGGCAATATTTTACTCGAGTATTAATATTTTTATTTGGTATGAATTTAAATTTAAGCAAAGTACAAGCAAAGGAATAAATTATCAATACGTGCAACCTAATATCAATAGTAAAATGATACTGTCATAGATCTGCCCCCGGACCCCTTTCCAAACATGAGTTCAGAGGAAGAAGATTAGTTTGAGTTGGCAGAGGAAAGCATGGAGTTGCATGATGGCCCGGATCAAGCCTCAGAGAGTGCTAGCCTGATGGAGCACCCTCAGCTGGGTTGATCAGACAAGCACAGGCTGAGTTTGAGTGAGGCAAACCACAGCTGCAGCGAGTTGGCCAGGATGCTCCAGGCAAGGACCAGGAGCAACTATCACTTGTTAACAGTGTGAACACCAACTCCTCCAAGGACATGTAGGGCAGATAGGAGGTAGGTGGAATGCAGGTTGTCTAGACTAGGTTTTCCCCACCTAGTTGAATGTTCAGGATTATTGCCCCCACACCCACAAGTCCATCACATGGTCCAATCTCCCAGTACCATGCTGGCAGTTCCACCCATCCAATTCCGGTCAGGTGCAAAGGTGCAGAGACAAAGGATGACTTTGGCTTTCTAGAAAGAATTTTGTTATGGCTACGTAGTATGTAACTCCTTACAATCCCTCCTCCCATTTTCCACAATAGAAAATGCATAGCAGAATAATAGAAAGTATGGCAGGCCAAAGATCCAAAAGAAAAGACGGCTGCAGGCCTAACACCCCTCATGAAGTGTCACCTACTTAATCCTGCCCTGAGGACCTGAACGTTGCTGGAACAATGTGCCCAGTTCTTGTGTGCTTTTGTTGTGTATCCTGATTCACGGATTGTTTCCTGGATTTTGTATGTGCCCGTTGGACTCAGTTTTCCCAGAGACTTTTCTTGTGCTGAGATTGGAAACTGTACCTGACCACATGGGTGCTTTCTGAGGACTTGTTTTGGGGGGGGGGGGGTTGAATAAAGACCTTTAGAACTCTCGCTATGCATGCATGTATGTATGTGTGTGTGAGGGGAGCGGGGCAGCTCGTCTTCAACTTACAACAGTTTGTGTAGTGATGGTTTGAGTGCAATGGCACTCAAAAAGTGACTATTTCACACATACAACCATTGCAGCATCCCCATGGTCATGTGATCAAAATTCAGACAATTTTGCAACTTACTCATATTTATGACGGCTGCAGTGTCCCAGGGTCATGTGACCACATTTTTTAACCTTATGACAAGCAAAGTCAATGGGATGGGGAAGCCAGATTCACTTAACAACTGCAGTGATTCACTAAACAACTATGGTAAGAACGGTTGTAAAATGGAGCAAAATTCACTTAATAACTGTCTTGTTTAGCAACATAAATTTTGAGCTCCATTGTGCCAGTAGTTGTAAGCTGTATACAGGTAGTCTTCCATTTATGACCAGATCAGAATATCCATAAGTCACTGCAGTCATAAATCAAATTGTACCTGATTTTGCGACAATTTGTACATCGGTCATTAACCAAAATGCACAGTTATTAAGCAAATCACACCATCATTAAGTGATCCCAGTTTCCCTAATAGGCATTTTTTGCTGAAAAATCGCGATCACAAAACATGATCATGTGAGTGCAGGACACTGCATCTGATCTTAAATGCGAACTGGTTTCCAATCTCCAAATTGCAATCATGTGACCACAGGGATGGAATGACAGTTATAAGTGCCAGTACCGGTTGTAAGTCACTTTTTCCTAGGCCATTGCAACTTTGAACTATGGTTAAACAAACAGTTGAAAGTCAAAGACTACTTGCTATAAAGCAATTTACCTAATTTATCTAATCCTAACTCTACTGTATTTCAGTTGGTATCCGGTATGGTTTCTCATGAAGCTTTTTCAGCTTCATAAAGATCATTTTTTTAAAAAAAGGATTACATATAAACATCAGGAGATCATATTCCAAGCATAGCTCAATGGAGGAATTGATACCATAGAGTAGGAGATGGGAGAAAACACTGAAATGTAAGGTGGCCATTCTGAAAGAAAGAGAAACTAAAAGATCTTGATTGCATGGTTGCTCTGAACACACAGAAATATGAATTGTAATCATGTTTTTCAATACATGGCTGAGAAGATCAATAGCAGCAGTTTAAATTAGAAATACTTCTGAAAATCTGGGCAATGTAAAAATTGGCTTCAGAGCAAGATTTAAACCCTCTGTTAAATTTGTTGGGGGGAAAAATCAAGTTTTATTGTATATTCTATTTGCTTTTCTATCATCATGTCTTTATTTGTGAAATCAATACTATTGTAAGCTTTTTCAGAGCTATAGTGGCGTAGTGGTTAGAGTAGTACTGCAGGCTACTTCTGCTGATCACCAGCTGCCAGCAGTTTAGCAGATCGAATCTCACTAGGCTCAATGTTGACTCAGCCTTCCAGCCTTCCAAGGTTGGTAAAATGAGGACCCAGATTGTTTAGGGCAATATGTTGACTCTGTAAACCACTTAGAGAGGGCGGTAAAGCATTGTGAAGCGGTATATAAGTCTAAGTGCTATTGCTATTTTTGAGCAGTGGCAATATTGATGTTTTCCCTGCACCAGCCCTTACTTCTTTCTTCATAATGTTGAAGTTGCAATCTTAGTTGACTTTTCCTGAATTCCCGCGATCCCCCTACATGTATTTTCCTCCAAACTTGGAGATAGTGTGAGTTGCCTGCTTCTACTCTCCTTTGAAACACCTTCCCTCCATCTCTTTATAGGTGTTTGGGAGATAACTAGGAAGCTCGATTGCTCTTTCATTGCTTTGTTAGAAGAGAATATGGATGTTGATGACAAAATGGACCTATTGTCTTGTAATAGTATAATGTGATTTTAGCACAGGGGTGTCCATCCTTGGCAACTTTTGAGACTTGTGGGCTTCAACATGCTGGCTGGGGAAACTCCATTTCATTTTGATCTTTAAAATTGTAGAGCCGAAAATAACCCGTCCACCTTCAAATCTGAAAATCATTGAAGGATTGAAGGCTGTTTTCCCATGTACTACAATGGGAAATCCCAAGCCTTCCCTTTCCTGGATCAAAGGAGAAAATGTGATAAAGGTGAGTATTGTAAGTATTTCTATCTTTTTGCAGAACTGGTCTGAGAAAAAATATTGTATTAGTTATCATTTCATAGAGAGGACAAGTGATTAAGGTCCTGGACCAGAAACCTAGAATCTGTGAATTCTAGTCTAACCTTAGACATGAAAATCGAATAGGTGATTTTGACCCAATCATTGCCTGTCAGCCCAAATCATTTTACAAGGTGGCTGTTGTGGGGAAATTAGGAAGGAGCATTATGTAAGCTGCCTCAAATTATACAAATGAAATGGGAATATAAATCAAATAAATAAATACTGTGTTTCCCTGAAAATAAGACAGGGTCTTATTTTCTTTGACTCCCAAAATAAATGCTTGGCCTTATTTTCAGAGAAGTCTTATTATTTTTGAGGTGCAGGAGGTGGCGAGCGTGGTTACCTCATGGCTGCTGCTGTGTTGCAATATTTTCGGGGAGGGTTTATTTTAGCGCATACACTCAAAAGTCCAATTTGGCTTATTATCTGAGGAGGTCTTATTTTCAGGGAAACAGGATATATCCATCTGGGTCTACCTCATTTCACTTGAAGCTTTATATTTTGTGGCAGGAAAATTCTCGAATTGCTGTTCTTGAATCAGGCAGTTTAAGGATTCATAATGTACAGAAGGAAGATGGTGGACACTATCGCTGTGTGGCAAAGAACAGCCTCGGGACAGCCTACTCTAAACCTGTAATTCTGGAAGTGGAAGGTGAGTGATCTGTTTGGTGATGTGATCACACAAATACAGAATCTGCATTCATCCGACATCCGTACCCCATTTTTGCGAAGTGTTCAGGACAAAAATGGAAGTCTTTGAGCCCAGCTTTGAATCTATGAGTGAATAGAAACAAACAAGCAAATCTAATCAATGATCTAATGATCCTTCTTACCAAGGGTTTTGTTCGACTGCCTGCAAGGAATCCATATTAATGGCAGATTCTGAATAAATATACTTCTAAAAGATATATATTTGGGAATTTATCTTATAGCCTTGCTTCCCCTGGAATAATATTTATGGCTTTTCCAAGATTATTTGCATATGCATATGTGTGTGGGAAATATATTTGGATACATGTGACACATTATTCTGAATGGCAAGGCTGATATCAGCTCTTGGCTTGCTCTAGTTCTGCTTCTAGGAACATGTAGATTTGTCTTTCTTAACTGGATGACTTCCAGAGATGTTGGATTTTAACTCAGAAGTCTCAGCAGTTTGGCCATCAATCATGCTGCAGGGAGATTCTGGAAGTTTTAGTTCTTCTCGATTTAAATCTTCAAACCAGGTAGATGAATAATGTACCTCATTAATAACTTAGCCACAATAGAAATGAGTGTCACTAGCAGCATTGTATACATTAATATATATTGTATACATTCATGCAATCTAAAACATAGTACAGAACCTCACGGTCTGAAGATAACTGATATATAACTCAGAAAAAAGGACAAGCACAATATAACAACAACTGCCATTTAGGCATAAACTGTAAACTGCCTAGAGTTCCCTCGGCAAGATAGGTAAATCAAACAAGCACCATACCAGTAGCTTTCAAGCAACAGGATCTGGATTCTTCTCTGTTGGCTCTATATGGACTTTCATATACTAAAGCCAGTGTAAAATAATGAAATGCTCTGCTTGTTTCTAGCACTCTAAAAGAATTTATTTTGCATGTAACTTTTGTGACTAAAAGTGTGTAAGGATTCCCAGTGCTCTTTCTGTTTCTACTATTTGCTTCCACAGAGAAGATTATTATTTTATTTATTCCCAATGAATCCATTTATGCAGTAGAATAAAACTAAGATCTCATTTAATTAAAAAGTACTTAATACTACTGTTTGCCAAAATGGGTACAGCCCAGAGGTGGGTTTCTGCTGGTTTGGCCCGGATCGGGCAAACTGGTAGTGGCAGTGGCAGGAGGCTCTGCCCATCTGCCCGGATGCTTCACGTGTGCACTAGCAAACTGGTAGTAAAAAAAATTGGAAACCCACCACTGGTTTAGCCGGGACACCATTCTTAGATGCTTCTATATGTACAATCTTCTACTGATCTGTGCTTTTTTTTTTTTTTTTTTAGCAAGTGAATTTTGTGCACTCAGCAATTACTATGCAGTACTGCAGTCTCCCATTCCCAATCCAAATGAGACTTCAGGTCCTCTCCTGTAATATTTTCTGCTTTAAATCTTTCCAGCAATACAGCCTGGAGAATTAAACAAAAATAAATTTATGTAAGGCCGCTGTTACATTTTGAAGGATAGCAACTAGGTTGAGTTTATTTTTCTTAGCCAATAACTTTTAGAAGAGTTTTGTTATTTATTTAAAGACACTGGGAAAAGCCATTAAAACCCTTTTAAAGGCATTTTAGATTAAGGTGACCAGATTTTCAGATTGGTAAAGAGGGACACCTTTGACGGGGGGGGGGGCCTTGATTAAAATTTTTATACGGAGCAACAAAAATTTTCATACAACGCAAAAATAGTATTGTAATGGTTTTTTTTATTTCAACATAACTACAATTTACAAATATAAATTGTAACTGTTGCCAAACATCCAAATTTTGATCACGTGACTATGAGGATGCTGCAACGGTTGCTAAGTGTGAAAATGGTTGCTAAGTGTGAAAAATGGTCATCAGTCACTTTTTTCAATGCCATTGTAACTTTGGTCACTAAGTCCATTATACCACCTTTCTTGCCACAGTTCTTAAGTGAATAAATGCAGCTGATAAGTTAGTAACATAAGTGAATCTGGTTTCCCCATTTAACTTTGTCAAAAGGTGATTATATGACCCCAGGACACTGAAACCATCATAAATACGAATCTGTTGCCAAACATCAAAATTTTGATTGCGTGACCATGAGGATGCTGCAACGGTCGCTAAGTGTGAAAATGGTCACTAAGTGTGAAAAATGGTCATCAGTCACTTTTTTCAATGCCATTGTAACTTTGGTCACTATACCACCTTTCTGCTGTCTGCTGCGTTGATTTTGAATTTATTAAAAGAGCTTATTTTACATCAAATCCCTCTCATATTATTCTCCTATGTTCAATAAACCCTAAGAGACAGCATTCTATACATGAAATTCCTGCAACTGTATATTTAGTAAATTGTGGAGCTGAGTTTATCCAATTAACTCAGTTTTTGGACTTGAGTAATCACATACAATAAAGGAAATAAAACTATTTAGAATGAAGTGTAGTTGGCTTTTTGTGATTAAGGGTGTCATGCAGAAACAATTATAGTTTTGATCAGGAAAATACCCTAAAAAAAACCTTTTGTTCTTTCAGGTTTTTTTTTAATGATTTTTCCATGGCACATCATAGTGTTACACATATTGTTTTGAATAAAAAAACAGCAGCTGCACATTTTAAAAAACCTACATTATTTTAAAATGCATTAAAAAATAAAAGAAAAAAACCCAGCACACTTACCAGCAGGCAGAAACTCCAAGTCAATCCAAAATGATATAGATGTTAATACAAAGAACTGAGCAAATTGAAACTTTCCCACCATTTTGGAGCAGTCCTCCAACCTCCGTGCCCCTCCCCTCCGGAAAATCCAGGAAGTAATACTGGCGACCTCTCTAGCCATTTCCTGCAGCTCTATGGTACTAGATCATTTTTTCTTATAAAATGAGGTAAATGCAACACGGCGCGGCGCGGGGGGGATCCGTTTTGTTGCTTTAACGTTTTAATATCTTCAATGAAAGTACTGAGACAGAGAGAGAGAGAGGGATTAGACAGGGTGTCTTTTGTCTTGCCCCGGTTAGGATTTCTTAAGCAAATCCACTGGGCTTTCAACATGAAGCCAGAAAATCGGGACTTTTTTAAAACGCGGAGGGACACGGGAAAAATTGTTATAAAGCGTGCTTGTCACGCTGAAATCGGTACGTCTGGTCACCTTATCTTAGATTTAGTAGGGCCTGCTCTTTCCTGAACTGTAGCCTATTTTATCTGATGCACAGATTCATTGGATGTACTTGAAAACTAAGCCAACAGGTAAGACTCTACATTTAAATCTACATCTGAGCTCCTTAAATGCATCATTTAAGAGCCAGCCCTACGATCAAAAGAGCTTCCTTACACACTTCCTAGGGAAGGTAATTTGAACAGATCTTATCCTTGCATGAACTTGCCTTTTGGAATTTGCTGCGATATATTTTTCATATGTGGAAAATGAGTCATTTAGTACAGCAGATTTATATAGACACCGGACATTAACTATTTTAATGTTATTTATATTCCTCACCCCCACCACAGCCCCAAATTGGGACATGTAGATCTTATTGTCTCTGCAGGTTTCTTTTGGATTCACTCATGGAAAACATACCTCATATGAACTCTTTTTGACATTGATAAAGGAATTTTGAAAGCCTATATAGTTAACAGTGGAAGTTTTATTTTAAAAGGAATTCAAAGGAAGGAGGGGCAGACTGGATCTTAGAGGTATCCACTCTGAAAAGTGTGCACCTCATAAGTCTTTGCAAGTGGGGAAGGGTTAAATAAATTCTGAGTATAATGGCCCAATATCTTTTGTTGTTTTTATTTCAAGACTAGAGGCAATTCTTCCTTTCCAGAAATACTTCTACAGATATAGCAAATGTTTTTGTTATTAGGGCTCATCATTCAGTTTACGATTGGACTTTCTGGGATGATTGACATAAATAGTGGCTAAGTATCCTTGTATTAAAAAACTAAGTATTCAAAGCAATCTTAACTTGAGAAACATGAGTGGTTTAGAAGGTGGAAAAATCAATCAATCAATCAATCAACCAACCAACCAACCAACCAATCAGGGTATGGAAACATTTATAATTCGTAAAATTCTTTTGCAGAAGAGAGATTTTGAGAAGAGCATTTGGGTTTCTGTGATATCAAACATTATTTTCTTTCTAGTGTGGGGTAGATACAATTCTCTTTATAGAGAACCAACATGGGAAATACTTTTGTTTTATCTTTTGAAGAAGCTAAATGCAACAGTGAATGCTTAGCCAAATGTGTGGGGTGTTTTTTGAGTTGAGAAATTACTGGGTGCTTTGGATTGGCACCATCTTCAACTATTTTGTGAATTTGGGAAACTGGAAATATTTCATCAATAGTTAACCTCGGGTTTACTAATGTTTTTGTTTTTTCCATTAAGTTTTTGCTCGAATTCTGAAGGCTCCTGAATCCTATAACGTAAGCTTTGGCTCTGTGGTAACTCTGCAATGTGTAGCAACAGGCATTCCAACTCCTATAATAACATGGCTTGAAAATGGAAAAGCTGTAAGTATCACTGCAGTTCCTAAATTCCAATGATTAATTCTTCAAGCAAATTCAGTTAAGCTTTGAAACCAGGGTAAAACTGGCAGAGAAAAGTGGGAGGCTCTTGCAAAGCAGAGATGCAATATGGAAATGCAATTCATTATTCATTCTCATGTGGCTGGATTATATGACTTCATAGTTTGGAATGTGATTTGAATAACTAACTTCTCATGTGCAAACACCTCCACTATATAGTCATGCATCCCCATTTTGCTTATTCAGTACAGGTTTCCTGTATTTTCATATACAGAATCTTGCACCAATACGTGTTAGAAAATGTGTTTAAGATAACTACAATAACACTTTGACAATGAATGTTAACATCACTTAATCAAGTTGCACAGTTCATAGAGGAAGCTGGAGCAAATTTTGGTTGTCCTTGGCTAAATTCAGTGCTGGGTGGCATATTGGATGGTATATTCTTTATATGGGAAAAGGCCAAGATTCTGATATTTTGGCATCTCCAGATAGCATTGAGAAAGGGTTTTTGATATTCTAAAGGTCCTCTGCAATCTCCAGAATTCTAGAAATTGTATCATAATTTATATCATTTTAGAAAATGCTGCTATCATAGGTGCTTAGTACAAGCCACAATAATATCACCTCTGCCATTTCATTGCACAAATGATATGATTTATTTGATTCTGTTTCATGAAGTGACTGACATAAATTGCACAATTGCATGCTACCTTCCTCTCTGCCCATGGTTGACTGTGATTGCTGTGAACCTTTGGCCAATGGATACCTTTCCTGATGTTGTTGGGCTTTGATTTGGCTCTTACTATGCCTTTATTTGTAGGGACACGGTGGCTCAGTGGCTAAGAGGCTGATCTTGTTGATCAGAAAGGTCAGCAGTTTGGTGGTTCAAATCCCTAGTGCCGTGTAACGTAAGGTGACCAGATTTTCAGATTGGAAAAGAGGGACGCCCTTGACCCGGGGGGGGGGGGGGCTTGATTAAAAAAATTTTTTTTTGTCAAGCTCACCCCCCCCCCCCCCCCCCCCCC